CCCAGTCTTTCTGGTATCCTCTATATGGAGATGATTTGGTAGTAATTCCAAATACAGTATTCAGAATCAGTGGGGAAATTTTTGCAACTCTAAAAACCCTGAAGCCCTACCTCCTTGGAGATTCTGATTCCATAGATCTGAGGGAAGGCCTGGGAATCATTTGGTTTACAAAGCCCACCAGGATGAGGCTCTAGCTTGGGGAGTAGTTTTGGGAATCCCTGCTATGAGCAACCATTCTCTAGTGCAGGCATTCTCAATCTCTGCAGTCCTGTTGAATGATCTCGAGCATTTATAAGGATGCTGATGCCCGTGTCCCATCTCCAGAGATAATGATTTAATTGATTTGAGGGTTGGCCTGGACATTGGGATTTTAAAAGCTCCCCAGGTGATTCTGATATGCAACCAAGGTTGAGAACCACCGTTCTGGTATATTCCTAGAGTAAGAAAAACATGGAGTATTTGTAAAAATGCAGATTCTCCATCTCACTTCTGAGCCGCCTAAACAAACTTTCAGGGCCAGAAACATAGTAATCTGCATTATTAATCAATAGCCCTGAATTGTTACTCTTAGCAAATAAATTAAGAGAATCCTAGCTCAAGAGACATGATAGAATCCCTCATTGAGTAAATATTCCCTGACTGCACCCCTCACCTGTTTATATAGTAGTTTACAGTTGACTTGACTTTGTTATCTCATGGGATTCCTTGAATACTCTTGTTAGCAGCGTGAGTAGATATTAATCCCATTTTATTGATGAGGAAACTGAGATCGACAGTTTTCTAACAGCACGCTTGGAGATACAAACATAGATTAGGTACATGTGCTTCCCTGAAAAGACACCATAGGCTAGGGGAGGATGTAAGACAGAAACAGGAATGCAAGTGTAAAGAGGTGCAGTACAGATCTGATAGTATATGAACATTCAGAGAAACAGAGGTTAAATGAGAAGTAATTTGTGAGGAGGAGGAAATCAGAGCAGGCTCTTTGGAGGCTGTGGCCCTGGCTCATCTTGGAACTGATAAAGTTGTAGAATTTCCTTTGAGGGTCTGAATGGAGGGCAGATGACTGTGGCCTTGCTGCTGTGCTCCCCTGGTTCCCTTTACTGGATTTTTCTAGTTTTATAACCCAGTCTGTGTAGCTTCCTTTGTGCTTTCAGTGTATCATATTTGTAATAAATTCTGTTTTTCTTTTGGGATCTTTCTGGCTCTTTAATAAAAATGCAGTTTGTCTTTGAATTTTGCAAATAAATGATTATTTTAACTTCCCTAGAATAAAAATTGCAATAAGCCTTTTGTCCACCAGGGAGATAAACCAGTAGACACTGGAACTATCATACAGTTCATTTTTAGAGAGGTGGGTAGTTTTTTTTAACTCTTAACTATCTAATTAGCTAAAAATAAACATCTGTACTATGGTGATTGTGTTATTAAATCAAGGAGTATGAAGAAGGTTTCAATGACAGCAGGTTTATTTCTGGAGCAAAAGAGACTTTAAGGAATGAAGCTATGACCGGCAGTCGGATAAAGAACCGAACTCTATTAGGATGTGCTGCTGGCTTTTCTCTTTCCCTACATCTGTCTTAGATTATTATATATAATACCCACTTTCAGAAAGCATCTGGTTCCTCAAGAAAGTTGTATGACGATATGGAGAACTTTTATAAGTTGATAAGACTCAACAAAGTTGGCTTAAGTAGTGATCTTTTTTGCAGTATACTATTTTTAGTAAAATACAGTTTCTTATTTTCAAATGCAGTGCATCTTTTAAAACAGATATAAGGGCCAAGAAATAATTTATTTGTCTCTTAGAATAGGTATTAAATTTAAAAGGCACATATTTTTTGACCTGCCAGATTCACATCTAGTAATGTGTTCTACATACATATCGACAGAATTGCACAAAAATATGTGAAAGGATGTTTGAAGTATTGTTTATAATGACCAAACAAATGGAGATAATCTAAATGTCTGCTGGCACGGGGATGTTTAAATGAATTATGGTTCGCCCCTATAATGGAATATTATGCTATCATGGAAAGAATGAGATATTGATATACAAAGATGTCAAGGTTACCTTAAGGAAAAAAATCAAGTGGCAGAACAGTGTGTACAGTGTAAACCCATTTGTGGACTGAAAGATACCTGTGTATTTATGTATTTCCTTAAATATACCATATAGACTATTCCTGACATGGTACACAGAATCTGTCAAAAATGCTTGCTTTTCAGGAGTCACCTGCAGACTGTACAATGTGTATGAAGGGAGTATTTTTTACTCTTCACCATGTGCATCCTGAATTCTTAGAAATGTTTCCATAAGCATTTATGATTTTTAAAATACTGGATAAAAAGTTATATAAACTAAAAATCCATTAAATTTTATGTATTTTAATAATTAATAAATCAATAAGTTCAATGTAATAACTTCATTACTTTAATTCATGGTTTCAATAATTATTGCCATATGGTGAATCCCTTAAAAAAGTCACAACACAGAAATTAATTCCCATCATTTAGAAGAATTACACATACCACCAGTTGAGAGCCTCAAAATTGGAATTCTAATAGCCCAACTGAAGAGATTTTATCCCCCTGTTGTTTGTGCTTCTCTTGAAGTGTCATGGAAACATTTGATAATGAGTGAACCATATTGAGCTCCTCACATCATTTGCAGTGTTAGGCTTTTGTGCAGATGGGTCTTGATCATATGCTGTTTTTGGATCCACTCCTATTTTTCAGAATCAGAAATTAGTGAAAGATTGTTTTTCATTATCTAATCATCTATTTAGTCCTGGTATATTGGATGATTGTTTTAAAACATGAATTCTTTATTCTTTTTATGATTTAATATAACATGTTTCCAAAGTTGGTATTTTAAAGAAAATTTGAGTAATTTATAAAACATTTCTTATATACCTTTGCCTCTGACATATTTTCCCCACTTACAGTGACTTGTCAACTTCCATTGTTCCATAATCTGGTACCATAATTCTTGCTATTATCTTTTTTCTTCTACTGTGTTTCTATCTGCTGTCCACTGTGAGTCTGAGACTTCAGAAAGAGATCTGATGGGGTTGGTTAGTCACTATCCAGTAGAGGGAAATATTTTCACACTGAAATCTTACTCTATCCAAGTTACCTCATTGACTGTTGGCCCCTCATGTCTCTCTAACAGAAAGCTAGAGTGTTGATTTCTGGTCCAATTAGATGTTTTCAGGAAGGTCTTTTGAAATATAATGACCTCTAATTTAGAACCTAATCTTATGGACAGTTCACCAGTCCAACACCCCAACAGAGGATATTTTAAATTCTGTTAAATTTACTCCCAGCTCTTCTCAAAAAATAAAACAAAACAAAACCCCCAAAGAATCAGCCTGGGGGAAAGTTCAGATTTGCACTAGATCCCCATAGGTTCTAGGCCCAACTCATAAGTAGTGTAGGGGAAATGACACAGGCCTTGCATTTACATATTCACAAAAAGTTTGCATCCCTACTTGGCAATGTCCCAGGTGGGCAAGCTTGGCTCTTGGAGATTGTGACCTCCTATGTAGAAGAGAGACAGCAATCTTTCTTTATAGGATTGATGTGAGGATTTAAGGCGATTGTGTATGTAAATCAAATAGAACAGTAATCAACACATAGTAATTTTTTGTTTTTTTTAGAGAGCAAGAGAGAGAGTGTGCAAGAGAGTGCATGAGTGAGTGTGTGAGCTGGTGGGGGAGGTGAGGAGGGGAAGGGCAGAGGGAGAGGGAGAATCTTAAGCAGGCTCCACCTCAGCACAGAGCCCAAGGGGGGGGGGGTCTTGATCTCACGACCTTGAGATCATGGCCTGAGCCCCTGAGCTGAAATCAAGAGTAGGATGCTTAACTCACTGAGCCACCCAGGCGCCCTATACATAGTATAGTAGTAGCCAACATTTATTGAGTGCCTGCTAAGTGCCAAGCATTATTCTAAGCTCTTTATACATTTTACCTCTTTTAATCATCTGAACAACCTTGTGAAATTGTTACTTCCATTTGACAGATGACACAGGCAGGTTCTGTAACTTGCTTCAGATTGCACAGCTAGTAAACGAAGGAGCTGATAGCTCATGCTGTTAACATCTTCACCAAACCAGCCCCACCCAGAAGGTCAGTGTCTGGCTTTATTTCTGTGCTGAAGTCTGTGCTTTACTGGGTTACACTCCCTGTCAGGCTTACAGGTGGAGTACCACCCTGTTCTTTCTTACCCTCCATCACATCCACCTGCAGTCCTCAGTTCATGATGCTCAGTGACTCCCTTGGGGATTTGGAGGTGTCACAGGATCAGAGCCCTTTTACCTGTTCTCTGCCACCTCCTCAGAACTGGGGTTCACTCGATCCTGTAGGTTTATCTCATGAGAAACAGTAGTCACAGACCAGGCTGCTTTCTTGGAATTCCAGTGAAGAAACTGTCTTCAGCCTTGTTACATCCTGTTTGCTCCTGTTCTCTCCCCTCTTGTCAAGCACTGAATATTTGGGGTAGGATTAATCCGTAAGGCAGACTGGAAAGCCGGCCGCGTTTGCCCCTTTAAACCACCCATTCTATTAGTCCTTCCTATTTCACTCTTTCCTATCTCAGTGTGTCAGTTGGAATTACCAGCTTTTAGCTTCTGAAGAAACAGGAGGTCAGTGGGGGGAATGGAAAAGGCCATTTAGAACAATGCTTCTCAAACTTTAATGTGCATATGAATCACCAGGGACCTTGTTAAGATGCCGATTATAGTAAGTGGATAGGTGGGGCCTGCATTTCTGACCAGCTCCCGAGTGTCTTAGCACCCGCTGGTTTCTAGACCACACTCTGAGTGGCAGGTGTTTAAAGACTGAGGCACCACCCTGAGATGGCAGAGGATTTACCCTATTACCTCTTACAAGAACATTTAATCCAAAGAAATGAGTCTCATGGGAATTAATGTAACAAGCTGCCAGAAGAAACTTTGGAATTTCAAGCCCCACCTGGACTGCTTACTGGTAAAACCGTTCATGGTTGGAGAACAGAATAGTATAACCTTGTCAAGTTTTGATATAAACACTATAAAAGTAAGCATTTTCCTCCTTCAGTTTAATTTAGTGACTCTCAAATGATTTATATACATTTTTACTTAGCTTATATGAAAGAGTATCATCTTGGTGCTGCTCAAGGTTGAGTTTCTCATGATGCGGGGCGGGGGGCGGGGTGGAATAGAGGATTCAGCTGATCCTCATGCAGGGGCCACATGGGTTTTTCAGTATCTGTTTCTTTGTTCTTTCTCTCGTCACCTCATAGAAGGCATAAATTTAGTCAACTTTTATTTCCCTGGCTTTTGATTTGGAGTTGGCTCACCAGGAGTGTTTGTGAATAATTCTCTTAGGACAGGTTTGATAACGCTAATCTGAATAAGGAAATATTCTTCAGAGCTTTATACGTGGAGTTGTGGTGTGGGCAGGAACGTGTGAAATGATGCTGGTGATTCTCCTGGTGATGGCTGAGGCTGATGCTCTCTGTTTCTGTTTCCAGGGAGGAGAACACTGCTACTACCAGGGGCACATCCGAGGAAACCCGGCTTCATTTGTTGCATTGTCCACATGCCACGGACTTCAGTAAGTGTCTCCAGTTTTTTGTACCATCCATTCTTTCAATCCCTTATTTCCTTTAGTTTTAATGCACTGTAATCAAAATCTTTATTTTATGTCAAGAAATAATTTTTTTTAAAGATTTTATTTATTTATTTTTTTGAGAGAGAGAGACAGCGAGAGAGGGAACACAAGCAGGGGGAGTGGGGGAGGGAGAAGCAGGCTTCCTGCTGAGCGGGGAGCCCCAGTGCGGGGCTCGATCCCAGGACCCTGGGATCATGACCTGAGCTGAAGGCAGACGATTAATGACTGAGCCACCCAGGCGCTCCAAGAAATAATTTTAAATCAGTGATGGGTCTGATCTTTTTCTCTTTTGAGGTTTATAAGCTGAGCAGATTTTGAAATTAGAGTCGCAGAAACAGACCAGGGTCTTTGGAATTATCATATGATACCGTACAGTGATGTTTGAAGCTTTTTTGTAGTTTCATCCAAGTTGTGACAAGAGTGGTTTGGGTAATGTTGGTTCTCTGGATGCTTAGCCCCTTGGTACCAGCTCTGCCCCTACTCCTTCCTGATGTTAGTTTTTATGTTTTTATGGAATAACAGAAATTTCAGTAGGTGGAAACTCTTGACTCCTTGCACAAAGACAACAGACTGTAAGTCACCTCAAGAACTCATGTGTTCTACCTGAATCCCACCTAAAACCCACAGCAAGCTTGTGGGAGAGTCCTTCTGTTCTCAGAAATCTCCAAGGAACGGAGTTCATCCTTTCTCAGGGCCTTGCTTCCTTTCTCATAACTTTCATTATCAAAGAATGTTTGCTGATGTTTAACTTGGGAATACACCTACTTCCTCCATTCTGTCGCTAATTGGTGATACACAGGTGGCCGTCTCTTATTTATTTTGTGAACGCCTTATAAAGCTGCCATGTCATTCCTCTGCATTCTACTTAGGCGAAATCATCTCAGTTGTTTCTTGTTTGTTTTACTTTTTGGGGCACAGAACAAGTCAGCACTTTAGTTCTGTTAAATTTTTGTTTGGCAACTTGAAAATGTATCCTGTCAGCTCCCAAGTTCGAGATCTGGCTTTTCCACGGAGCCAGCCGTTACTGAGTGTCTGCTGTGAGCCAGTCACTAGGAAAATCAAGGCCATGACACCATGACTCCTGTCCCCGGCAGCTCAGAGTCCAGTGGGGGCAGGTAAAGCTAGCTCAGCTTCCTACTAGGGAATGTGATAGGTGTATTTGTTTTCTTTGAGAGAGTAAGTAACAGGAAAATGTAAGAAGAGAGTGGGCACTGAGAAATGAGGTAGTGCTTGAGGTCTCCAGAGAAATGTCACCTGAAGAAGCCAGAGTGGGCCCTAGAACAGGCTTTGATAGAGTCTTCCGAGAGAGGGGTAGGCAGAGAGGTCTTCAAGAAAGCTAGGAAATAAAAATAATGGAACAGCCTGGAAAATCGAGCTAGTCTGCGTAAGCGGTGCCTCCAGTCAAGCTTGGGCAGTAAGTATGTCAGAGGCAGAAGGGAGAGAGTGTGGGAACTCTGAAACTTACATAGCCAGAGGAAGGAGGCCAGGTGCCTGAGAGCGTGAAAGGCCTCCATCCGCTTATTGTTGGTTCTAAATAAGACTTTTACTTATTTTAAATAAATTCTTTGACTAAGGAGACATTTTTACAAACAGGAATCCATGCCTCATATCTGAGGGCCTTGGTTTTCTTATCTGGAGAAGGAAACATTGACGTGCCCTTCAGTAATAAAACTGTTCTATCTGATCTCAAGATGATTGCAGCTTTCAGCTAAGAATAGTACCCTGGGCCCATCGACATTTGTGACAGCAAATGTATGATAGTGATAAAAAAAGGAAGAGGCGTTTTTCCCTCTCTCTTCCTCTTAAAATCTCAACCCAAAGTTACCATGTAAGCATCTTGCCCAGGACGTAGTCCACTTTGCTTTCCAGTTTTCCAAAGAGACACCATATTTGTGAGAAGGCATCCCTGCCCTCCAAGGGCTCTGGTAGACCTGAGAACCTGAGACCAAGAGCTTGCTGCTCATCCCCCATAGGTATCTGAAGGAGGATGGAAAAGTAACTGTAAGGAAACTTTAGTGACTAGATCAGGAGTAGAACCCAGAGCCAGCTTCAGTTGTTTTAACAAAGTAAAATTTACCTCTGCCTTGAGAAACATTTTCATTTAAAACTAAACAAAAGGAAACAAATAGAAAAATGCGCCATGTGTCTAGGAACACTGTCAGGATTGTATATAAGCATATTTGGGTGTTCTTAGACTTTTATGAGTGTGTTGGATAAATTTAGTCTTGTTCTTCTTGTTATTTATCAATTATTACTTCTTATGTTGATTTTACCTTCTGAACAAAAATCCTGACAGAAATATTTTAGAGGATATTACCTAAATATTAAATAATTTATGTTGTCTCAATTACAGTGATTTGGATATGAAATAGATTATTTCATCCATGACTCATCTTTTATAAATTACCAAGTACATATGGAGATTTTTCATTTTTCTTGATTTACCGGATTCAGTTAAAGAACATAAAGGGAAAAAATAATCAGATTTCTGTGTCTTTTCCATAAAGAACCTGCAAATGCACATTTTGTTTTTCAAATTCAAAGGACTAACGGGCAATATTTTGGTCCTGGTACGTTTGATGTTATGACAAAAATCCTGTAACTATGGGAACCCAAAAGAATGGAATCAAGTGTAAGTTTATTGCCCTCTTGTGGCAATTTGTAAGAATGGCTGTTTCTTTTCAAAATCTTGTTTTGATCCCTCCTTTTAAAATTTCAGCTCAATTGGCCTATAATAAGTAGGTCCTAGCTGCAGGTTTTTATCGAATATATGCTCTGTGTGGACTCACTGCACTTATTGGAATTTATATAAATATAACAGAAAGGTGTCAATCCTCAAACAAAGTAAATAAAACATATACTTTTTAATAAGTTAAAGAATTACTAATGGCACATTGTCATATAGGGAGCCAGAATCTTCTAGATACATATGGTGTCAGATTTTGCTTTCTTTACGCTGTGTATCATGATGTTTAAACCCAATAAAAGTCCCTGATTTTCACATTCGACACTGACCTAATGCAAGAGGAAATAATACCCTGTATTATTTAAACAAAATGATCTGCTTGCCACTTAATCAGCATAACCATGTGAACTTTGGCAAAAGGTGATGGTACTGTACAATTTTCTGGATGAGTCTGGCCAGTTCTTAGCAGGGCAGAGAGAATGTCTACTGTTGTATTTGGTCTACTGTTTTGAAAAGGCTCCCCCCAACTCTGATTCCTAGGCATGTATTGTCAGTAATATCTTACAAAGTGCATCTGTTTATCTTTAAATTCCAAATGCAGTGTCGTCCAAATTCAAAAAGTGTACTTTGGTTGAAAATCTTACAGATGTGAGAGTAGCCGTTCTAAGGGTATATGAAAGTTGAGGACATGTGGAAGATGTTACAGCAGGAATGAAAGAATTTGGATAGAGGCAGAGCTGGAGGCCATTGTAATTATAGCTCAGGGAAATCAACTGATTTCACTAAGCCGTCAGTGAAAGATAAATACTATTTTATGCGTAACAGTTTGGATCTCAGGCAGTCATTTCCATAGAACACTGAAAAATGACTCCAGAAGATCCCACCTTGTCCCCCCTCAAATGCCTGAATGATAAGACACATTGCTTTAGCATCACAAGGGGCTTGATCTCAGTAGAAGAACCGTGTTCTTTAGAAGGAGTGGCTCATTGGGATCTCTCTGGGTGGAGCTGAAGCCATATGTAGATTAAAATGCCCTCCAGAGGATTCCTCAGTTGGCTGATAGTCGTCTCCAGCCTAAGAGATCAAAACCCAACTCCAGGTTTATGCCCCCTCCCTGCATCCTTCTTCCATGTGCCTAGCCCATTCTGTCCTTCCTGCGGCTTTTCGCATTTTATTAACTGGGAATTCTCTCTCACGCGTTGCTCAGGTCAAAACCTTGGAGTCTTCACTGACACGACTCTTGCATACTCCATTTCAAATCTGCCAATAAATCCTCTTGGTTAGTTCTGCTTCTGAAAAGTATCCAGAATTCGACCAGTTCTCATCATCTCCACCAATACCACGGTGATCTAGGTGGTTACCCTCTTTTTTCACCTGGATTACCGAGGTAACTTCTCCATTTCTATCCTTGCCATCCAAAAGACTATTGTAACGTAGCAGTTGGAGCAATTATTTTAAAATTTAAGAGTGATTGTGTTTACCTCTCCTTAAACCCCTGCAGTGGCTCCACATGTCTCTCAGAGTAAAAGCCACCGCCCCTAGAAGGCCTGCCTCATGTGGTCCCCACTCTTCCTCTGATCTCATTTTATGGCCCTCCCCTCATCCCCTTCCTCCAGCCACTCTGCATCCTTGATGTTCCTGGAGCACACTTAGGGCTCAAGTCTGACATGGTCTTTGCATAGATATCCTTATGGCTCATCCCTTCACTTCTTTCAGATCTTTGTTCAAATGCCATCTTCTCTAGAAAGCCTTTCTCTAAGACTCTATATAAATCAATAGTCTTCTTTCCTTGGTCTCTACACCCAGTCCTCTGGTACCATTTATTGCCCTTAACCTACTTTATTTTTCTTCCTAGAATTTTTCACCACCTCATATATATTTAGTTGTTGATGATATATATATATATAT